TCTTGCCTTAAGCAGGTTAAGATTGTAGTGATTGGGGAAACATCCTCTTGGGAGTCAGTTCCACAGAGAAGTGGTTTGCAGGAAGAAGCTGTTTGAGTGGAACTTACATCTCACCAATGGAATACAGAGGGAATGTGGGTGGCTTGCTAGTATAAAAGTGACATGGTGTGCCCTTACAATGAAGGTTTGAATTGGCAGAAACAGAGAATGTAGTTTGTCCGAGCACTTTACGTGGAAGTACCAATAGTGTAGCATGAAGCTTGCCACATCCTGCCTGTGGGAGAGAGGTTGAAGGGTGGAGAATAATTTGTCACATATAAGGGTTTGGAGAAGATTTTGATTCTATCAAGACTGGAGAATGAGGTCTGGGCAGCTATTGCCTAAACAGGACAACAGTACTCCATTTTTGGCCTGAGCGGGCTCTTGTAAAGTTAGAGAATAGCAGGAGGAGTCAAGTACTTGCTGGAGTGGCATTTTATCTGCATCCTTAGCAATGAATCATATGTAAGAGTCCCACCTGAGGTCAGGTGTGAGTTTGAGGCCCAATAGTCTTTCAAGGCACACTGCCTCCCAAAGTGACATCTGTTCTTCCTGACTAGTGGTAGTTTGAGGTCTGTTCAGTGATGATGGAATGTAACTAGTTTCGAGATATCTAATGCTATGGTCCTTGAGGTGTGTTTGCCATCAAGAGCCTCACTATGTTAGTGATGGCAGTTAGGATGTTGGCAGTGGATCAGGCTGACCAAAACCCATACTGCTTGTCACTGGACAGGTTGTTCTTCTCTAGATACTCAATGACCTTCTTAGTGATTATGGTCTCAAGAAACATCTTCCACAGGCTTTGATTTCTCCTTCAAGCATCAGTTGAATAACTTCACTAGGATTGGAGATAATTCCAGGTTGATATTTGAAGCCAGAATCAAGTTGGAAAAGATCAGTTGAGAAACAAAGGCAACCTGACCAACATGGATCAAGCTGCAAGAAACTTCCTTGAACAGTGTTTTTCAAACTTTTATTTACTGGGACCTGCAGCAAGAACCACATTTTTGCATTACAACCCTTTATACCTACATGTAATAAATCTAAGACAAACTCTATTCTTTAGGTTCATTTATTTAGCATTGATAATTTATATGCATATTTTTTATGATCTGCACATATTGGAATTGCATGTATCTATTTGTATTATTTATTTCTATTAATATAAAATTATTACTTTTAGAAAAACAAATTTAAAGGAAATTCTGACAAAGGAAAAATAAATAATAAATTTGCCAGTCTTAAATTTTGCTGAAACAGCAGTCAACTCACTGAAAATTCCAAGACTTCAAATCAACACATCATCTAACTACCATAGGAAAAATGTACTGGTACTCAACTTTGACATTGAGTTGGGAAATTCGCTTTTAGTCCTGACATCAGATACAACTGAACAATCTTAATGGCTTTCACTGGCCACAAAATGAATATAGTGCATTTCATTGTAGCTAAGTTTTGGTGCGAGGTCTCTTTGTGAGAGAAAACTAACATCACTCAGTTGCTCAAGTTTGATGAACAAGATACATAAACTCAATGAGAACAGACTATATATATATGTATATATAATTATATCTAAAAAAGTAAAATGAACTTACCTCAGTGAAAAATTAGTAATAACTTATGAGTGCTGTGCAACATTTAGAGTTGTTTATATTTTGCACTTTGCTTTCACTTGCATATTTTTTTCTTTCTTTTTTGTCGTGACCCATTTTATTTATCTCGCAACCCACAGTTTGAAAAACCCTGGCCTAGAACATAGTGAGGTTGTGGTCCCATGCACCACAAGAAGTTTGAAGAATTAAGAAAATGTTTCAGGAAACTTAAACAGCCTTTGTCTTGTGGAGATTAATTAGTCTAATCTGCCAGACTGCCCACCAGGTTTGTATTAATGATTATAAAAGGAAGTAACATAAACCCTCTTCCTCTCTTTCTGCTCCAGAATGTAGTAGGTAGAAGATGTAGCCAGTTTTTCCCTCTCGGGAGATTTAGTCACATGGCAAACCAACTACTTAATTTCAAATAAACCACATGACCATCACAAACACACACTACTAAATCCCATAAATGTTTTTCCTTCCTTTTTTTTTGAGTTATTTGTATACATGTAAATATATTTTTCTCTTTCACTTATTTTGTGATATATGGTCTCTTTATATATATATATATATATATATATATATATATATATAAAAATCCTCAAATTCATTTCTTCAACAGCATTCTATACAAAATGGTAGCACCATCCTGCTACAGTATAAACCTAAAAAAAGTATTAATGTTTCTGATGAAATTTGAATTCACAAAATGTTACTTCTTTAGTTAGTTGGGGATTTAAAAAAATAAATAAATAAAATAAAAATAATCAAATTTCAGTGAAATAGTAACTTGACAGTAAGTATTCATTAAATGCCGTAATCAAGTACAATGTGAAGCCTTAGGTACAAATTCAACTAATGTCTATTCATTTGCTAAAATATCTTTTTTTTTTTCTTAAAATAAAATTAATATTACATTTTTCATAATCTGTTTGTTATATATTAAATCAATATTTATCTTAGAAATAAAGCCTTATTAAGGAAATCTATCAAAGGAACATTTTTTAATAGAATATTTTAAATTATTAATTGGAAACTGGGTTAATTTTGTGACTTTGTAATGGACAAAGATAATAATTAATATAGGCAGAGTGTGAAAATTTTAAAGGTATATTAAAAAGTAGTTCAGCAAGCTCAAAGCTTTTTGCACCACACAAGATTCACAGTTATTGATACATTAATAAAAAAATAATTATACTCTTAATGTGTTGTATCCATAAAAAAATAAATAAAAATTAATTATGAGGTCAAAAATAATTATAATAAAATAATTTTAACAATTATAATTATCATTACTTATCTCTTTCTAAACCAATGAGAATTAACCCCACTTTTCTTCTCAGTTCCTTTTCCTTTTTCAGGCCATAATAGTAATATTTATCTCTAAGTATTCAACAAAAATTTGAGGTAAGAAAACCCAAGACACTGCTTGTATTTTCCAACTAAATTATCTGGACACTCATTACCTACATCTATAAAAATCACACGAGACTGTATACACTTTACTTATTCTTTATCTTATCTGTTAGATTCCAATCCATATTTGATCTACATTTGACCCCAAAACTCACAATTTTACTCAGTCTCTCATGTCTCCAACACCACATAACAACTGGATAATAAATAATACTTGTTTTCTTGTTTCTATGTCTTATTTTTGTATAAATGTAAGGAGGTTTATAATTATTTACTCAGAGTTATAACTCCCCTACAAGACAAAGGTAAAAGAGTTTGTTACTCACCAAAAGGATATATGGTTTACATAGGTTTGAAAGTAGACAAAGAGAGATATTTTGAAATACTTAGCTTTTTTGGATTGTTGATAGATAATTCTTTGCAGTGCTGTGTGCTGTTTAAAGGTCGATAATATAATTGGCAAGTAATTTTACACTGGCAAACACTTCAATGCTGGTCACGAGGAACTGAAATGAATCCTTTCACATGACTTCAGACACTCTTCTGATTAATTTAATTTTCTCCTCATTTTATATCAGAAAGAATTTAGTGTAGGCTTACTACTTTCTTTCTTTCTTTTTCTCAGCTCACCAGTTAATTTCTGTGAAATGCAAGGTATTCATTGATCCTAAAACAATTTCACATAGGCTTGCGAATTTATTTCCTTCTTTTTCTTGGCTCACCGGAATTTCTTACATAGGCCCGCGAATTTCATTCCTTCTTGAGTCCTCTGAATTTGAAGGGAGAGGGTGAATGGAATTATTATTTCGCACTCACTGCAGAGTTACCACATCTACCGAGAACGAGCCTCTTGAAAATGGCTAATGAATTGGCTGACTGAAAGTGGTCGGGACAATAATCACAGTGGACATTTTTTTAACTCTCTTGCTCCCCTCCTCAAAAGAAAAACAAAAAACTAATAAAAAAAACTTGTCACATTCTTAGAAACGTATATAAAAGTCAGGTTGCAGCCCAAATAATCAACTATCTTTTTTAATTTTATATAAAAATTTTAAAATGCATGAACTTTCTCTACGACAGATGTCCATTTACCATTCTCATACGAACATATTTCAAATAAGACTTTTTCCTACGAAAAATACAAAATTCTACTGACACACGTTTTTTTTTACCATTACATACAAAAACTGTTGCAAATAAACTGCAATTTTAAATTTTCATTATTGTAATTAATGTCTAATTAATTAGTAATCAACTGAAATACTAACACCGCTATGAAATTCAGATGTCTTTTAATTTTATGTACCGTCACTGATAGAATTTAAATTTATATTTCTAAGTTTTTTTTTAGGAATAATAAATTTCAAATAAAAAAAATGGCATCTGCAAAAAAAAAATTGAAATGTTACAATATTGCAACATAAAAAAAAGAAACAAACAAAAACATTCTGATTCATTCAACATTTTTAAGGTTTAGTTGACTTTAACGCTTAGTCGGAGAATAACAACTCTTGTTGGTATCTCTTATTAAAAAAAGGAAAAGAAAAGTTCTCTTCCAGTGGGTAAAATTTCCCTTAACGTTCCTAATGACACTTTTCCATGTTAACTTAGTTTCCCCGCTGGTCTGCTTGAAACTCTCCCTTTATAACTTACCCCTCGATTTCAATTTCATGTATTTTTAGTGTTCTTGCAACAACCAATCAATGGCTACGATAGTAATCACATGATATTTGACGTCATCAGCAGAAGCCTCAACCTCGGAAAAAAAAAAAAAAAAAAAAAAAGACAATCGCACCAAAACATCAACAAACTATCGTGACAGTAAGCATCACAGCGCAGCTCTTCTGTATTCAACAAATATACTGCGACGTTTCTTTGCATAACTTTATTATTAAACAAAAAGATAAGAGAAAAACAAAGCTTTTGAATCAACTCTCCGGCTGCGTCGCGATGGCTGACAACGAAGCCGTAGATTTATCTGATGATTTGAATGGTAAGTAATGGAAGAAAGAAAGAAAATTGTTCTTCACACGATTGTTGTCAACATATTCATTTTTATTGCTTATAAATCAAATAGGGACTTATCAAGTTATCATCATCTATGTACATATTAGTTCCAGTAGATAGCATTGCAATTTGTTTTCACGAAGAAAAAAGTGTTCCCAATTGTTGAGCATAAAAAAGCAACAGCAGTTTTACTTTTAAGTTTTATTTATTAAGTTAAAAATTAAATACCATTTTTTGTTTTAGTGCTATTTGTTTTTGCATTTTATTTATTTTTAACTGATTGACTTTTTTTTTTCTTCATTAATGCTTTTTTTTACTTGGTTGAAGAAATAAAAAGGAGCAGGCCTTTAATTCCAAATCCAATTGTCATACGATTCTTTAATTGTTTTAAAAGAAAATAAATTATGATCCTTAAAGAATGTGTTCATTAAAAAAAAAAATGGTTGATTTTAGTGCCACTTGCCAGCCATTTTATCATAATTTTTATTTTGCTTGTAAAAACGGAAACTTTTTATCATGTGCTTTGTTATTACTGCATGAAATGTCGACAACCTTTATTAATAAACAAAGAAAGCTAAAACGAATTGTTTTATACCAACTTTTCACGGAACTTTTATCAAAAGCAAAAACAAATAAAAAATTTTGTTTTCAACCGAGTCATTCTTTTCTCCGTCTCCAAAGTTTGATTGTTTGGGTTTTTGTTTCTTTCCGTTTTTTGTGTATTGTTTGGGTTTTTTGTTTTTTACTTTATAGATTTCGTGGCTTGATAATTTTTTCAGTAATGAGAAAATTTTCCTCCAACTTTAGTTTTTCAATTTTTTAGTAAATAACTTGCCACAATGTTTGTTTTGTTTTTTTGTTAACTGTATGTTTTGATATTTTGTATGGTCTTAAAAAATGTTGGGAAACACGACTCCATGAAACTTAAATCACTGTGAAATGGCCTGGATTGATTAACTTTTTCTTTTTAAAAAATGTTTTTAAATAAACGATCAAAATCTTAGATAATTTTTTAAGCCGTTCTTTATTTTTCTTCCTTATATTCAATTCAATATGGCGATTTCACTAAATCTTTGAGTATTGCGGACAGAATTATGATGAAAAAAAAGTCTCAGTTTAGAGACCAAAAATAACTAAACTACTTAGACGACTTACTAATAGGTACTGTAGTAGTACTGCTACTAGTAGTAGTACTTACCGATATCTAGTCCGTTTGCCTTGAACTTCGCTATCTAATTATTATGGACTTTGTCGGAATTGAATAGATGCTTGTTTTGTTTACAACACTATTTTGTTTATTTAATAATGGCCTTGAGCGTCGGTATCAACTTTCTTTTTGCAAATTGTCAAATTTCTTGATTGATGGACTTTTTTTTTTTATAAAAGTTTAATTGTGCGAATGGCTCATTCATTACTATTCAAAATTAAAAAAAATGACTTAACGATTTCATTTAAAAACAAATTACCTTGTTTTTCTTTTCAATGAATAAATCCTCTCAGATACGGAATAAATTTTGAGAACTTAAAAATAAAAATATTTATTAGAGATTTATAACGGTTTGTCAGGAAATTTATTACATAGAATGTAACTAACAAATTATAAAATAATTAAAAGAAAATATCAATAGATCTTTATCTGCGTTATTTTAATTTTACGGAAAAATTTTTACCCCTTGCCTTCAATTGTTGTGTAGTAATATGCCAATCTGTTCTTTATGCATTATTCCATCTGTACAACGGTGGCATAAATGTTTGCGCTTACTTAAAGCCAAGATATCAAGAATTATTTCGTCGGACAGTGTCCCGATTCACTTCTCTAATTGGAGTGTGAATCTATTGTTCCACGTTGTGATCATCTCAATAAATCACATCCAAACTAAATGCAATTTGTTTGTTGGTAAACAATTCTGATACTAAAAGACAAATGCTGCTAATTCAACAGTGTTTCCAAAGAATCCCTTTATTTTTAATTTCTTTGTTTTGTACATGAAATTATCGATCACTGAAATCCTGAAAGAATAACCATGGCAACACCTGCATGATTATGACGTCAATGCAGAGCGATCGGCATTCTTGGTAATAAACATGACCGTGCTCGTATTAATTACGACTAGTAGTAACACTAACAGTATGAAGAGGGTTACTTGTTTGTTGTCTAATGAAATGTCTCTACGACATCTCTGACAGCAACGTGGCATTATAAAGAATTTTTAGCCAAACTACTTGAAGTAACCGACCAAAACAAAGCAACGTTTCTGCCCAAAAATGTCTTTTCACACAAAATGATAAAAAAGCCATTTGTTTTTTGTTTGAGTAGTTTATTGTTGACATTGAATCAACAATTGACTTCGCTTTCAGTTAGTGATTGATTAATTTGGCGGAATTTATTTACCGTTTGTAGTTTCATGTGACCACATTTTGTAAATAAATGAGCATCTGAACCATTTTTATCACGAAATACTAAGCTGAGCGCTTTATTTTTAGCAATGACTCAAGTTTTGGTCGTCTAGCCAGATTATCATTTGGCATTTAGCTGAACGAGAGATGTGTTGTTGGTATACGACTGTACAAAATATCTAGGTGACTGACTAATAAGCTAGTCTTTTTAAACACAGCCTTCTGTTTCTTTTAGACGAGAGATTATTATTAGTTTTTAAATTAAAAAAGGTTTTTCTCTTGAAAATCTGGAGGAAGAAATTGTCTCAATTTACAATACATTTATTTTGATAATTAATAATGTGTTGTATGTTATTGTTATTCATTTGCTTATCAATGTATATTGTTTACCTTGTCCTTCAACGATACAAGTTGCTTGTGTTTTTTTACTGTTGTAACAACAGTATTTTCTACCATTATTTCGTTTATTTTTTTTTTAATCGCGATGGCTATATGCGATGTGCCAGTTGTCACGTATCCAGAACAAGTAGTAGTAATAATACTCAAATAGTAATGTGTCAATTTATTACTTTGAAATAATTTTTTGAGCTTTTCCTAATTACTTCGAATAAATGTGAATAACCCAACCAAAGAGATGTTTTTAAGAAAATATTCTTTAATTTCATACTCTCATAGAGTGAATAAGGTAACGGTCTATGTAGCCAATCAAAAATGTAAACAATCGGTAATAATGGTGATACGGGGGATTGTGCACGTCAGTTGTGATTTTTATTTCATTAATTTTAAAGATATTTTGATGCATTTTTTAAAAAGTTATTAAAAATATCTTGAATTTTCTTCATCCATGTTATTTACGTGGTTGTGCGTGTTTTCACTCTTTATTTTTTTTAACAAAAACAATTTTTACTGTTCTTAAAAGGTACTTTGTGTTAGTGTTTACATTTTTCAGGTAAAAAACAAATGTAAATATTATTTTTCGTGCTGTCCTCTATGTTCGTTAATAATTGTTACTTATTTATTTTTACCATGATCTCCTTCCCTTTTAGTTTTAAACTTCAAACCATCGTTAATTAATTTAAAATTTTTCTGTCGAACTCTGGACAAGGCCAACAACGGAATTAAATGCACCGAAATAATTTTTCTTTTCATTTTTGTTCTTTAAGCCTTGGAATCTGGCGTCTCAGGACAAAATGGTGATATATTGTTTATGATTATTAATTTATGGTTATTCATTTTGCTATATAAAAAAAAGAAAAACAAATTATTTGAATTAATTTGAAGAGAAGAAATTGAGTTTTACTTTTATTTCAACGGTAACAAAGCAATGAGAATTATTATTGGAGATTTTTCTTTATTTTTTCTGTAGTGTCTCATTGTTTCTCTCCCACTTTTTTTTTTTTTTTTTTTTTTTTCCTCACAAAATTATTAGATATTTTATTTTTTTAAGATACGATATTTCGGTTTTTAAACTTTTAATTAAATTGTTATGTTTGTTTTCCAAGTGCGATCATTTTTTTTTTTTTTTTTTTTTTTTTTTTTTTTTTGTTTTTTTTTTTTTTTTAGTGCTGTTCAGTGCTATATTGTCAACAAAGCAGTTATGACATTTCTTTTTTTTTTTAATCAACACTTTTTTTTAAATTCAAGTATGTGAGAATTTTTCGATGTGATATATCATGAGTGGACGGCTTTGATTTTTCTTTGCTTCATTTCAGTTTGTTTTTAAACAAGGAAATTTTCAATAAGTAAAACAAATTTTCGTATCATTTATATCCTCATGTAGTTGATTGGAACTGAAATTGAGTCGATTGAAAAGTGTAGGTAATGAAAGCGCTAAAAAATCAGAATGCCGTGTTGAAAACATGCTCCAAACAATAATGAAAACTTAGGTTTATCATTAAAAAATCGTTGTTATTAATAAACTAGAGAGGAAGGATCAAAGTAATTTTTGATTATTTAAAATTTTATACTCCGTTATAGAACATTCCAATTTTTTTTTTTTTTTTTTTGAAACAAACTTTTTCTTGCGTCAGCGCTTAACAGCAAAATTTTGGCCTCTTTTTTTTTTTTTTTTTTTTTTGTGGTGGTGGCAGACACATTAATTTGGAAATTCTTGCAAAAAAAATCGGTTATTTATGAACACGTTCGGCTGTCGATTAACACGTCAGGAAAACTACCTCGTAGTAAGAAATGTTTGTATACTATACATACAGCTAAGTAATATTTGTTTCAAATCAATTTAACTTTAAATTTACTTTCCTCAAATTTCAGAAATATATATTTTATTTTTGCAAGATTTTTAAAACTGAGAGTTAACTTTTGTTTACAAATGTGTCAAAAATGGTTGTTTTGATCGATACTGAACAAAAAAATGATTCCGATCAATTTCTGTTTTAAAATACACCACTGGAAATAGTAAAATTTAAAACTTTGAGCTTTCAATGAAAGCTTCAAGAAAGATTTTTCATTTTTAAAATAATATACTGAATTAGTGGAAGTACCTAAATTGTGTTGAATTCGACTGGAAATATCAATTCTATTTTCCATTCTAAAGAACATTTTTTAAAACTATAAACAAATATTTTTGAGGAT